CACGCACACTCTCTCACTCCCACCTACACACACACACACACACTGCTTTGTACAATACATTTGTCTATCGTCTACTAAAGAAAAACTTACGTCGTCTAACAGCTTTGGAAGTTTCAATGGAAACCTCTGCTGATCTGGGATGACTAACGTTTTCTTCATGTTCAAAAACAAAATAACAACATGAGGAACAAAAAAACAGATCGACACGTACGACGAGAGACCATCATAGACCCTGATACTCACTCCCTATCTGTCTGTCTGTCTGGAGTGAGTGAATGTCTGTATAGTGCTGATGTGTGTTTGCTGTCTCCTCTTCCCATCATGCTCTAGTGTTTACAGAGGGGAGGGGCTCGGCGCCTCAGTAAAAGCCTCTCACACACACTCTAATGGAACGGCACGTAAAAATATTTACGGCAGCGGCCTGTGTGAGGATGGAGGAGAGCGGCTGTCTCTCTCTGCGTGTCTGTCTCTCTGATGTGCAGCTAAGAGCGTCTGATGGCGGAGTGCTGTTGACATGCTAGCACTCAGTTCACCTGGGTTCAGGACATGATGTTTAACAGCCCAGTGTGTGAAACGTGTAAGTCGAGCCAGAGCGCCCTCCAGTGGACACACTCTGCAGAAACGCTCTTCCTCTGTCATCATGGAGAATGAATGCTGTGAGCGTGTTGGTTAAACTGTTGACATGTTTACAGCAGCTGCATGAATAATAACACATCTGTTTTAAAGACACAGACGTCTGAGGAAGCTCAGAAACACACCTGAGGAAGAGGAGAAAATCACTGTCGCTCTTCCTCTGGAAACGGGACTCAAGCGCTGAAGCTCAGAGTTCTGTGGAGGTGTGTGCTGATGTGAACGCTTGTTTAGAATGAGAATCTGTGGCCTGTGAGCTGTTTTAATTGCTGAAGTGCAGAGATTCGCTCAGGGACTCCGGGGTTCAGATGTTCTGCGTCTCTGACCTGTGAGCTGGTTGTATGACACCTCTCGCTTGCACACGCGCCGGGAAGGTCACGTGTGTTTTCTTTCTCCCGCTCGCGGTCCCAAACACAAATAACGCCTGCGTTTGGCTGCTAAACATCTGCTAACTAGGATGTCGCTGCGGCTAATCTCAAATATTTGTTCGCTCTCAGGGTTGGTGTTTTTAGCCTCTTCCAGGCTGTTATGAAACGGAATCGTTCTTTTTTCTCTTGGTGCTCGCTGACCTCTCGTACCAGAATCAACTGATAATTGACAGCCAGTCAAAACAGTTCAGCTCTCTGAGTTCAGCGCTGTGCCCGAGACCAGCGTGGCACATTCCCCAATTCACCTCCGAAACCTGATCTATTTGAGATCAGTAGCAGCTGAGGCCTTCGCTCATAACGCTTTGTCAGAATTGGCGTGAAACCCCAGATAAAATCATCAGGCGCAGAATTACATTCAAGAGAAACAAATCCGTGCGGTGAGGCCGAGCGTCTGAACACGTCTGACTCTGGTTTCAGCTCAGGAGCCCGAGGGCAAACCGGGTCACGGTTACAGGAGGGTAACCCGTGTTAACTCGAACCCGGCCCGAGCGCTGTTTGGTTAGGCTGGGCTGAGGAGAGAAAGCATGTCTTCCACCTGTATAAGCAAGATCACACGTTTAAAATAACAGGTGAGGGGCGAGTCTGATTCAGAGCCGTGGACTCTAGTTGTGTGATCAGGAACCAACGTCCTGCATGTTCTCTGCTACCTTTCTTGTTTGTTTATTTAATATTTGGCTAGTTGGAGGTCAATAAGAGTGCTGTACTTTCTGGGCCATGTAACATGCATCATTTTGAATTTTGAAAAAAATAGTGTGTGTATATATATTAGTTTTTTATTTATTTATTTTTATTTTGTATTTTACTTTATTTTGTTAACATTCCTGTAGCTTAAATAGCATGAGCATGACACAAGCAAAGGCATCCTCGTGGGATCTATTCCCAGAGAACACATGGACTGGTGAATCTGCACCTTAGGAAAAAAAGCAGCTGCAGAATACAGAAATGTGAATGTAATGTTATTTATTTATTTATTTATTGTCTTTTTTCAAGTTTTAGTTTTTGTTAGCATTCTCTAAATCATAGTTTAGTTTAGTTTTTATTTTAGTGTCTGCCAAGCTTCAACCTGACTGGCATCATTTTAAATTGTTTAACGTTTTGGAATCATGAAAATGTATTTTAATTTATTTTCAGTTTTGTCATGTTAGGTTAATTTTGTATTCCAGCAATGGAGAATGTTTACTTGACCATGTTTGCATGCACAGAATTCCCCCAAAAGCAGCTCTGAATGTGCTCAGGCGGATGATTTGTGTCGTTGTTCTGGCGGCTGCTGGTGCTGATGGGAATGTGTTTCTATGGTAACGCGGTGTTTTGTTCTGTCTGGTGTTTTCGCTGAAGTCACATTTCGGGCGAGCCGCAGCTCTGATGGAGATTAAATGAAATGGTTTGGTCCGTGCGTCCGGTCGGTCTCGCTGTGAACATGGTGTCTGCCAGCGGCTGTATGCTTCAGCGGATGGTGAATAACTCCTCATCACCCCCCAGAGTCTGAGAGAGCCACCTTCACCTCTCGCTCACCCCGGGCTCCTCGCGTCGCTGTTTCTCATTGCCGTAACCAAAGCAAAGCATCGCTGGGGTTAAAGAGCGCATCGTGACCTCATGTTTGAAGTGTAGCTCGCTGAGGGTGTTTGGTGAACGCTGCAGAGAGCTGAAACTAGAGTTTAACTTCCTGTGATCACGGCCTCATGGTCCAGGTTTCCTGATAAGAACGAAGCCTGTTCTGTTTTTGTCCTCTTAAAGGAGTGAATAAATCATTTGACTGACTGTGGAACACAAGCGCAGATGTTCAGCAGAATGTTCATGCTGCTCTTTTGCCCACAGTGAAAGCAGACACACTGTCTACACTGTAGAACTCTAGTCCATACGCACTATATTCGATAAGTCTTCTGAAGTCATCTGATGTTTTATGTGAAAAATGAACTGTATCCAAAGTCATGCAGCTCTCAAATGTCAGACAGGTTTGATGTCAGTGACACTAAATGCATTTGGATCAAAATATCTTCTGTTGTGTTTCACAGAAGACAAAGTCGTGCAGGTTTGGATCGACATGAGGGCGAGTAAATAATGATGACAGCATGTCTTTAATATGGTGTATGAATGTTTAATGAGGTTACAGTGATTCATGTGATTTATTTTGCAAAAACCTTCAACACGCTGAAATGATGTGAAGCTGACGTGTGTTTGCATGATGTTGATGTGTTTGTTCTGTCAGTAGTTGAAAGTGTGAGCGACTCTCACCCTTTAAGTCACCTTTATTTCTACAGCGCTTTATTCAAAACAGACTGTGTCAGGAAAACAGCAGAGTCAGTGATGGACACTCAACTATGTTTCAGTTCAGATTCATCTCTAAAGACAGCAGTGTCATCATTCAGATTAATTCAGTTCAGATAGGGCTGCACGATTAATCGTATTTTAATGAAGTTTAGCTCACCCTCTCTCACCTGCTGCTGCTGACCCCACAGGTCACCCCCTGACCCCTGACCCCTGGAGCGCTGTACACTCTTGTCCCGCTCTTGTTTTTAGGCATTGCGCTATATTCCAGGGTGAATGCAGTGCAGCTTATTGAACATGAATGCTGGGTAAATGATGTTGGATTCCCCGTGTTTTTGCCAGCAGAACCGGGAACAGTGACTCATCGGCCTCGCTGCAGGTCTCACGGATCCGCGGATCTGTTTGTTGAATCTGCGCAGCAGAACTGAGCGGAGGAGAGAAAGCGTTGTTCTTCATGTTTGTAAAGGGAGCGGTGAGATTCCGTGTCCGCTCGCTCCTGCAGTGTGTTACGCAGGAGAATTAACCCGCTGAGACGCGTCCCTCTCTAACGTCACTGCATCGAGTCACCACCGTGTCTTTGTTGTGGTTGAGCTGCAGAACAGTCGTCGTGCGTTTGGGCTCTCAGGGCTTTGATGCACAGGCGGCTGTCACGTCTTCACAGGAAGCAGAATGAGGCCGCTGTGCTTTATGGCGCTCATTTTAAGTGCTTTTGTTTTCTTCAAAGGGAGTCTGAGATTTGAGGAGAACATTCTCTGGCGCTGAGCTCTGAGCACGAGGTTTCTCATGAGTACAGCTTCTGAACTGGATCTGACCCTCCATCAGCCGTGCAGCGTGTGTGTGTGTGTGTGTTTGTGACTGGGTTAGGGTTAGGACCCTGCCACGTCTCACTCACATGCAATACCATCCAGTGAAGCCCCGCCCACTGCAGTTCCTCAGATATCTTGTTAGTTGTTGGTTTGTTTGAATATGATTGTCTGTTAGATCATCTCGATGTGTGTGTTCAGGTGTGCGGTCATCAGCCGCAGTCCGCGGTCTCTGGTTCGGTGGAGAGTTTGTGTGGCAGCAGCGCCCCCTGCGGGCAGGACAGTGGGTTCGGTAGCGACAGCGCTGGTCTGCGGATCGTTCAGATCGAGCGGCAGAGCGGCACAGGTCAGCACCGCCTCGCCCGGCCGTCACAGCAGCCCACCATCACCAAGAACCTCAGCTTCATCCCGTTCGATGTGTTCCTCACCGCCGGCCGCATCTCTCTAATGACGTACGCGACCGCGCCTGTGGCCAAACCCCCCGCCGACGCCCCGGGAAAGAGCACGCTCGACGTGCCGGAGGACGAGACTGTTCGGGCCGGGGCTCTGTCCTCACTGACGGCCGAGGATCTGCTCAACGCAAACACTGCGGGCGGGTCGACAGGGGTCCTGGGGGGCCGCTCGTCTGCGCGACAGGCTCTGGGCGTGACGGTGGTGAGACAGCCGGGCCGCAGAGGAGACAAAGACTGCAGCCTGCAGCCGATGCTGTTCCTGCAGGTGACGCAGCCGTCCATCTTAATCAGCTGCCACCACCGCAAGCAGAGGCTGGAGCTGTCGCTGTTCGACCTCACGCTGAAGGGAGTCGCCACCAACTACAAGAGTCTGGGTGAGTGACGCTTCACACGCGCTACAGATACAGACAGAACTCAACCACAACCACCGTCTCTCTCTCAGACGCAGGGAAGTCTCTTCCGGAGGCGTTAGACTACAGCGTGTTTTGGCTGCAGACGGTCGCAGGAGAGGCCGACAGTCGGACAGGTATCCCCCCCCCACTGCTGTTTATGTATAATCATTTTCTATTCGTAACTGTTTTAAATTCATTTTGACCTCTTAAATCAATTTTTAAATCCTTTTCAAAGTTTTTAAATTCCTTGTTTTATTGTTGTGATTATTATTTTGTATTATTATTATTTTCTTTTCTTTTATGTAAAGCACATTGTGTATGAAATGTGCTATATAAATAAACTTGCCGTGTGAGTGTGAGTGTGTGTGTGTGTGTGTGTGTGTGAGTGTGAGTGTGAGTGTGTGTGTGTGTGTGTGTGCGTGCTTGAGCCTAATCACATCTCTCTCTGTCTGTGTCTGTGTGTCAGAGTTGAAGGTGCACATCAGTCGGCCGGTGAGAGTCAGTCCCACTCTGGCTAAAATTGAGCAGGCCCAGGTCTTCTGGAAGAGACTCTTTCCTGAGAGGGAGCCCAGAACACCTGCAGGCTCCGCCCACCGCTGCAGCGAAACCCCGCCCACAGCCGACCTGCTGCTGCGCTTTCTGCAGTCGCCCGTTCCCTTCCACAAGATCTCGCTGCGCACGGTGCAGATGGTGGTCGGTGTGGAGATAGAGGCGCACGCGGCGCGGCCCAGTCTGACGCTGTCTGTGTCGGCCATGACCGGCGCGCTGACGCTGAAGAACGCCATCAAACCCACAGGTTAGTCGCATACACGCCATGCATTTCCTGTGATTCATGTGCTGCGTGTGTTTCGCTTGATTGGGCCTTTAATCCAGCTCCGTTCTTCTTACCCACCATGCTCTGCAGCAGATAATCAGAGCGTTTGTTTGATCTACGTTGCCCGGAAATCCAGTTAATCTCTCTGAGCCTTTAACAGGGCTGAGGTCCGCAGCAGATCCCCAGTGTGTTCCCATCATGTGCGCTGGTGTGTGTCAGCACCTCCGTCCCGCGGGGCAGAGTTACAGATGCGTCTGATGTCCTGATTTAGGGCTCTGAGGAGCCTCTCCCATGATGCAGTATGAGGATGATGTTGCCAGGGGGCCTGAAGATGACTTAAAATCATTTAAATTAATGAGCTCAAACAGCTAAAACTCGGTGATATTTCTTATTTTAATTCACCCCCTCAACAACTATTTGTTGTTTCTGAAGATGTTTTCTTCCAATTTTTAAATAAATTGAGTAAAAAAATATTTGAAAAGGTTCCTGATCCATTAAATCAGGAAAGACTGGAACAGTCCTGCAGATTCACTCTCAGTGATGTTCGTGGGTGTGAGTTTGATCACATGACCATCAGCACTAGTGAGGGGTGACTCCGTGAACAGCAGTGGAAGTGAGCGTGTGTTTCTCTCTCTCTGTGTGGTTCTCCATGTGATGGGCCTCGTCTCAGCGAGCCAGAGCGTTCCCTGCGCCCATCTGCTCCACAGATGCTGTCATACAGCTTCTCCAGATAAAGTGATTGTTGAGAATTTTAATTAAAACCTCAACAATTTGCACTTGTTTACTGGATTGAACATAACTGCAGCATGAGACATGCGTCCGGCCGTGAGCCAGACAGAATCTCTATGCGGCCCGCAGTTTGATGTGCCTTTATTAAACACAGTCGAAACGGAGTTTGGCCAAACGCTGGTAAACAGCAGACGAGGATGAGAGCTTTTGTGTTTGTGTGGAAATAACAGAGCGCTGTGAGTTTCTGCAGTCCTGCGTGTGTGTGTGTGTGCAGAGATGACCGTGTTCTCTCTCTCGCTCTCTCTTTTGTGAAGTTTCGCATGCTAAAGAAGTTTTTAATGCTACAGACTCCGTGTGGATGCTGCATGTTGTTGCTCTTCTGGGATGCTTGTAAATCAAGTGAATGTGTGACGCAGGAATATATCAAGTCAAGTCGCATTTTCTTCTGTAGTGCTTTAAACAATGCAGATTGATTCAAAGCAGCTTCACAGTGATGAACGGAAAAAATTACAGGAAAACAGGAAACTGTTTATGTTGTAAAATTCATCAGTTATGAAACAAATTCAGTTTCAGCTGTAAAGCAGCTCTACAGAAGACAACATTATTCAGATCGACTCGGTTCAGTTCAATAAGAGTGTCGATGTTGCAAAATTATTGTTAGTGTCATGGGTTAATCGAATTTAAGTTCAGTTCAAGTTTTATTCTCATCAGATATTGTCATTGCCATCAAATCAATAATAATACTGAATATTAATTGTTTTATATCATAGTATAATGGCCTTCATACAATTCTGTACTGCTGTTGTAAACCGATGCAGATCAGCAGGGGGTGTGTGTGTGTGTGTGTGTGTGTGTTTCTCCTGTGGGACTCAGTATTGTTTATGAAGGTCACACTGCTGCCAGACCAAAGCCACACGCTCCTAAATCTCTCCTGTCGTTCACTGAGCCAAAGATGAGCCACAGATGAGTGTCAGTGCCAGATGGAGACGTGTGTGTCCATGGATGATCCTTCAGAGGAGGTGAATCTGAAGTGTCCGAAACGCTGTCAGACACCTGGACACACGACAGCAGCTACAGACACGCATGAAGAACAACGCAGCACCTAAAACACGCAAACACGTGATTCCTGACTGACTGTGCTCGATGACTGCAGTTTAAGCCCTCTCTGCAGTCAGTCCATCATCTGAACACTCAAGAGCGAACACTGATGTGATTTCTGTCCGTTTTCTCTCTCTAGATGGTTTTAAGGAGGTCTGTCTGTCGGTTCAGTGTGAGGACGTGTTGGTGCGGACGGGTCTGAAGGACAGAAGTGCAGTGTTTGTGGGTCCGTTCTCCTGCAGTGCGGATCTGGAGGCTCATTGGTGCAGACACAGTGGAAGCTCCGCCCCCGACTCACCTGGACCCCCGAGAGTGTTGATTGACATGAAGGGAGGCCTTCTGCAGGTATGATGTCAAGCGCCACTGCATGTGTCTCTCTCTCCACATGTGTGTCCTTGCAACGCTTCATATGGAATCATGTGCTCTGAGTGCGGCCGCTGAACGCGCAGAAATCCCCTAATGTTCCTGTTCAATCTGTTAGTCAGAGACACACGGACTCATTCTGAGTCAGAGATTCCTGCTGATTCAGGCCAAATACACACACACACACACACACAGACTATTCACTAGCCGTGAGACATTTGATTCCCTTAATAATGCAACTGTTTTGCATTAAATGCAGCCAGAGTGTCAATCATGGAGCAGTTTGGGTAGAAATAATCAGAGATAGACATTGGTGGTCAGTCCTACTAACTGGTTTGAAACTTTGTTAGCGGTCGTTCACCTGACTGACACTTGCAGTAGATTCCAAACTCATAACAGCGCATACTGAACACTCACATGCAACATGAAATAAATAAGTGAGCGAGCAGATCACTGTGATTTAGAGCAGATCTGAGCTATGTCTGTGTCTCTGTCTGTCTGTGTCTGTCTGTCTGTCTCTGTCTGTCTGTCTGTCTGTCTGTCTGACTGTCTGTGTCTGACTGTCTGTCTGTGTCTGTCTGTCTGTCTCTGTCTGTCTGTGTCTCTGTCTGTCTGTCTCTGTCTGTCTGTCTGACTGTCTGTCTGTGTCTCTGTCTGACTGTCTGTCTGTGTCTCTGTCTGTCTTACTGTCTGTCTGTCTTTCTGTCTGTCTGTGTCTGTCTGTCTGTCTGTCTGTCTGTCTGTCTGTCTGTGTGTGTGTGTGTGTGTCTCTGTCTGTCTGTCTGACTGTCTGTGTCTGACTGTCTGTGTCTCTGTCTGTCTGACTGTCTGTCTGTGTCTCTGTCTGTCTTACTGTGTCTGTCTGTCTGTGTGTCTGTGTCTGTCTGTCTGACTGTCTGTCTTACTGTCTGTCTGTCTGTCTGTCTGTGTCTCTGTCTGTCTGTCTGTGTCTCTGTCTGTCTTACTCTCTATCTGTCTGAATGACTGTCTGTGTCTCTGTCTGTCTGTCTGTGTCTCTGTCTGTCTTACTGTCTATCTGTCTGAATGACTGTCTGTCTGTCTGTGTCTCTGTCTGTCTTTCTGTCTGTGTCTCTGTCTTACTGTCTGTCTGTCTGTGTCTCTGTCTGTCTTACTGTCTGTCTGTGTCTCTGTCTGTCTCACTGTCTGTCTGTCTGTCTGTGTCTCTGTCTGTGTCTGTCTGTCTGTGTCTCTGTCTGTCTCACTGTCTGTCTGTCTGTCTGTGTCTCTGTCTGTGTCTGTCTGTCTGTGTCTCTGTCTGTCTCACTGTCTGTCTGTCTGTCTGTGTCTCTGTCTGTGTCTGTCTGTCTGTGTCTCTGTCTGTCTCACTGTCTGTCTGTCTGTCTGTGTCTCTGTCTGTGTCTGTCTGTCTGTGTCTCTGTCTGTCTCACTGTCTGTCTGTCTGTCTGTGTCTCTGTCTGTGTCTGTCTGTCTGTGTCTCTGTCTGTCTCACTGTCTGTCTGTCTGTGCCTCTGTCTGTCTGTCTGTGTCTCTGTCTGTCTGTCTGACTGTCTGTCTGTCTGTCTGTCTGTCGCAGGTGTTTTGGGGGCAGCAGCAGTTTAACTGTTTGTCTGAGATTCAAGAACAGCTGCAGAACTACTGGAATCAGATGAGCAGAACGGAGGCGGAGTCTAATGAAAAGCCCCTCCTCTCTACACCGCCACGCACCCCTCGCCCCGCCCAATCAGAACACTCCTCTGATGATCTGCGCACAGGCCTCTTCCAGTACATACAGGACTCAGGTAACACACACACACACACATTAAAGCTTTATATAGCACTCATGAGAGGGTGTGATTTATATCTGTATGTCTGTCTGTCTGTCTGTCAGCGTGTCAGAAGCTGCCGTCGCCTCATGAGGTGGTGTTTTGGAGGGAGACGGACGAGTCTCCAGGTGTGATGCTGTGGCGGTATCCTGAACCGCGTGTAATTAAGTTCCTCAGGATCACACCTGTTCCCTTCAACACCACTGACGACCCGGACATCAGTACAGCCGACCTCGGGGACGTGCTGCAGGTGAGCGCTGCATTAGTGCTGCATTAGTGCTCCTCATGCTGATGGTTGGCTTTGAGCTGACTGGACCGTCACAGATGTGCGTGTCTGCAGGAGTGAATGAATGTGGATTTGAGTTTCTCACACACACAGAGCCAGCTTATAATTTATATTTAATTGATCTCAGCTCAGAACTTTATTTTTTCATTTTATTGCAGCTTCAAAAAGCCTCCATTAATTGATTCTGTGATTTGATTTCAGCAGTTTTACAGGAAACACTCGTAAAACAGTGACTGTTGCCATGACGACACTGTGGTTTGATTAGGAGAAACAGATTTTATTACAGAGACAGACAGATTGACAGAGAGACAGTGTGTTTGAGCAGTAAGACAGTGTGTGTGTATGTGTGTGTATTGATGACAGACGTTTCTCTTCTCTTTCATGCTTTAGTTCTGCGTCTCACTGAAAGCCTCTCGGTTTGTGTTTTCGCTCAGTTTTATGGTGACACACACTGTATTTCATGAGCTTCCTCATGTTCTTCTGCAGCAGCTTCTCATGATCATCAGTGTTTCTTTCATCTGATGGAGCATCAGTCCTTCACATCACAAGCTCTTTAAGATTGATAAAACTTATCTCTGTCTGTCTGTAGGTGCCCTGCAGTCTGGAGTTCTGGGACGAGCTGCAGCGGGCGTTTGTGCCGTATAGAGAGTTCAGCCTATCAGAGAGCAGCGTGTGTGAGCTGACCCTGCCCACTCTGACCCCCGACACACACCAGACTGACCTGGTGACCTCTGACCTCTGGAGGGTGGTGCTCAACAGCAGCAGTGATGGTGGAGACGAGAGGTGAGTGTGTTTCTTGTGTGTGTTTCAGAGGTGAGTGTGTCGGTGTGTAACCGTGTGTGTGTGTGTGTAGTTCGGACAGTGAATCAGGTTCTCAGGTGCCCTGTGAGCAGCTGGTGTGTCCCACCGCTCTGGCTGCGTGTACGCGTGTGGACTCGTGTTTCGCACCGTGGTTCGTGCCGTCAGTGGGCGTCTCCATACAACTGGCATTCCTGCAGCTGCACTTCTGTCACAACCTGGATCAGCTGGGCACAGGTATGTGTGTGTGTGTGTGTGTGTGTGTGTGTGTGTGTGAGAAAATATTGTCATTATTTACTAGAGCTGCACCGATCGACCGGCCAGGGACTGGAATTAGCCGATTTTCCGCATTAACTAGGGAAGCACTGAAACTTGGCCACCAAATATTTTCACGCGAGAATGATTCTGATTTTATTGCATTCAGTGTAAAAGGAAACTGATAATATATTTGTCGTGCCAGCCTGTCTGAGAGAGAGAGAGACTCGTGCAGAAATCAAAACAAATGAGCGCAACAGCACACACAAAGTAACTCACAGAAAGATGTAGATGCATACTGCAGTAAAAAAAAGATATTTATAATATATGATATAGGTAAGCAACATTACACAACCAAGATGTTTCCCTGAATATCAACACGACTGCAATGTGACACTGATTTTATACATAGTTCAATAAACAATAAGTTAAAATTAAGTGACTTATATTTTAGACACAATTGACTGTTTTTGCTCGGTTTCGCAAACGAAAATAGTTCCAATCAAAGCCACAGCAGAACTGTTGAGTGTCTCTGAGCAACACAGCGGCGTGAATGAATGAATCCATGTTTTTGAACGAATCGAGTGAGTCAATGATTCAGTGATGCATTCATAAAGAGTCACTCGCCTCGTTTCTGAATGAATCAGCTGTCTGAACGAATCAGTTGAATGAATGACTCATTGACTCAATCATTAAAACAGTAATTTGCCGCCTCTTACTGGTGCTTTGGTTTGATATTTAAAAGTATCATTGCATTTTTCCCAACATTTCTTATTTGTATGTTCAAAAAGTTATTTAAAACATTAATCTTATAACATTATTTATGCATTTGAAATGTTGCGGTGTAAATGCATTTATCAGCTTCATCAAACAGTCTGTGTGAACACATCTAATGCCACTTCAGATGCTGCTTCTGTGGAAAGATGGAGTTTGTTGATACTGATTTCATTTGAATGGTAACAACTCTACAGTTTCTTATTATTCTAACTGAATTAATTGATACAGTGTAAAAATTTGATGTGAAAGATGACACATTTAATAAGGTTAGGGGGGAAAATTACCATTTATAAACCGTGAGAAGTCACATCTGTTTTGTTATACACAGCAGCTCATTTCTACCTCTTTCCAGTCACAGAGCACTTTATTTTGAGAGAACATCTGTAATTTAGTCCAGATTGGGGGACATGTAATGTTTAATAATTATGTAAAATATTTTTTTATTATGTAAATAATTTTTTGCATTGAAAAAAAGTATAGATTTTTGTTTGTATATGTAGTAAATTTTAGTTCTCAGAAAGAAAATCGGTATCGGCAGCTCACACTTACAAAAATACCGGAAATCGGAGTCGGCCAAAAAAAATGCAATCGGTGCATCACTATTATTTACTCATCACCACGTCCTTTCAGGAAAAGTCAGTTTCCCATGGGCCTCATGAGCTGTTGAAAACCTAATTATTATTTCAGTCATAAAAAAAATGAAGAAATAATTTAAAAATAAATACTATCAAAATAAAACACCAAAAATTTAATGAAATAATAAAAATGTAACATTGAAATGAATCATTTTTTTAATAAAACAATCAAAACTTATTAAAAATGATGAAATGCTTTATTAGTTTAGCTGCATGTCATGTGACCATTAATCAACTTCAGAGAACTGTGAATATAGGAATGTGTGTATTCTCTATAATTCCACTCTTTCCGCAGTGCCGTGCCAGAAGCTCCGCCCCTTCCTCCCAGACAGGAAGTCGCCTCAGGATCAGGAGTTTGCGGTGGTGTGTGTGCGTGAGCCGTGTGTGTTTGTGCGTCAGTGGAGGGACGTGATGCAGTGCTGTCATGAGCTCAGCTTCTCGTCCACGCTGAGCTGCAGACTGCTGGAGTACCGCAACCTCACGTACCTGCCTGTCCTTCAGCCGGTCAGCCTGCGGGGACACGCCACACACACACACACACGCTCACGCCGCACGCTGCACTGCGATACCACGCTGCAGCCGCTGCACGCCGCCGCCGGCCAGTACGCCGTTCACACGCTGGACCGAGCGCTGCAGGCCTGGAGACAGGTGAGACGGGTTCATCATCACAGGATCACTGATGTGGAATAAAAGTGCTGTTGGTCTGACAGTTCCTGCAGTATGTTTGGGTCATTCACATACAGACTCGTCAAACCAGTGAAAGAGTCACGCAGACCTCTCACACACACACACACACACACACACACACAGTGTCCTGACAGACAGTCACATGTGCTCAGACAGAGATTATAGAGCTGAGTTATAGAGCTGTTGAATGTGATCTGTCCCAGAGTTCTGCTGGTTCTGGATGTTTAGTGGGTGTGTTTATAAGTGATGGACAGACAGTGACTCTTTCATCACTGTATCATGTGACTCTCTAAAAGTGAGAGGATTAGTGTCTTCCTGTGGAGTGTTACTGTGTTTCTCTATAAACACATACACACTCATCTGTGCTCCCCTGACAACATACACACACTCAAACACTCACTGACACACACACACACTCGCACACATATACACGCACACTCATACTCACACACACACTCACTGACACACACTCACACACACTTGCACACTTATACACGCACACTCATACTCACACACACACACACACACACACTCTCACTCACACACACACACACACACACTCACACACACTTGCACACTTATACACGCACACTCATACTCACACACACACACACACACACACTCTCACTCACACACACACACACACACACTCACTAACACACACACACTCACACACATATACACGCACACTCATTCTCATTCTCACACACACACACACACTCTACAGGTCCAACAACAGCTCATCCACTCAGTGGGAGAGGAGAGAATGATGGGAAATGTTGGTGTGACTCAGAGTTTGGAGGTGCTGCTGGTGTGTTGAGATGTTTCCAGTAAAGTGTGTGTGTGAGTGTGCGTATGTTTGTGTGTGCGCGTGTGTGTGTGTGTGAGAGTGAGTGTGGGTTTTTCTATCCCGGTGGGGACTTAAACCTGAATACACACAGACTCATGGGGACTTGTGTCACTGTAGGGACCTAAATTGAGGTCCTCATGGGCAAACAAGCTAATAAATCACACAGAATGAGATTTTTTGAGAATATAAAAATTGCCAGTAGTTTCCTGTAAGGGGTAGGTTTAGGTGTAGGGTGATAGAAAATACAGTTTGTACAGTATAAAAACCATTACGCCTATGGAGAGTCCCTACAAGGATAGTGAACCAGACTCTGTTTGTGTGTGTGTGAGAGAGAGTGTAATAAGAGCTCGTTCAAATACTGAGGTGCTAAACCACTCAGGGCTTTATAAGTAATTAGCTGGATTTTAAAATCTATAGGATGTTTAATAGGTAGCCAGTGCAGTGTTGACAGAACCGGGCTAATATGGTCATACTTCCTGGTTCTAGTAAGAACTCTAGCTGCTGCATTTTGGACCAGCTGGAGTTTGTTTATTAAGCGTGCAGAACAACCACCCAATAAAGCATTACAATAATCTAACCTTGAGGTCATGAACGCATGAATTAACATTTCTGCTTTGTGTGAACGCGTCTTACATGCGTGTGCAGGTGTTCTTCTGTCTGTGGACCATCAGACAGACGTTCACATGAGCAATGACTGAACTGATGCTCTCTGTTCCTTGTGTTTCAGAACGGCGTGTTGGATGCAGAGGAAGTGGTTTTCAGTCATTACGTCATCTGTAACGACACACAGGAAGTTCTAAGGTTTGGACAGGTGGACACAGATGAGAACATCCTGCTGCAGAGCAACCAGAGTCACCAGTACAGCTGGAGAACCCACAAATCCCCACAGGTGCTCCTGTCTGTCTGTCTGTCTGTCTGTCTGTCTGTCTGTCTGTCTGTCTGTCTGTCTGTCTGTCTGTCTGTCTGTCTGTCTGTCTGTCTGTCTGTCTCTCTGTCTGTCTCTCTGTCTGTCTGTCTGTCAGGTGTGTCAGTAATCCTGCAGTTGGTTTTGCAGTGTGTGTGTAACAGTAAAAAGTTGAACACCTGCAGCAGCGCCGTTCTTGACACTCTTTATGAATGCACCACTGTGTGTGTGAGGTAATGCCTGAATGTGAACGGCAGCTATTGTGCCAGCCACACACACACTCAGTACAAGAGGCTCGTGAGTTTTTTTCCCTCTTTATGAACATGATGTGTGTCTGTATCTGGGAAGAGTTTCCTGTTCCTACGGCCGCAGTCTGAATTTGTCCAGAGACGCTCAGACACACTGACCACAGCAGCCGCGTCTCTCTGTGTTTGTCTGTCACTGACCGCAGCCTGTAGTGCCGTCCTGACTGTCGTCCTCTCTGGCGGTTCGGTCCGAGGCTGTTTGTCCGGTCTGTCTGACGCGCTGCGGGTTCGAGTCCTGGTGCTGCAGGACAGGAGAGGATAGCGCAGCGTCTGCTGCTGTTGTCTTGTTCTCTTCTCTGCCGTTTCTGACGGATGGTTTTTATTACTCCAGTGTTTTTGAGACACTAAACGCTCGGGCTCTTTTTCCCACTTTGCAA